GAGAGAGAGAGAGAGAGAGAGAGAGAGAGAGAGAGAGAGAGAGAGAGAGAGAGAGAGAGAGAGAGAGTTGAGGTTGATGGATATGGATTTACAGTTTTCTTTGTCTTGTCTCCCTCTTTACTTTTGTATATAAATTTTGGATCTCGGCTCAAGGCGATTCGCCCGTTTTTTTTTGTTTTCAGAATTTTGGCTTTGGCTTCAACCCCCACTTGTTTTGCGATTGATTTTGATCTCATTTATTGTGTGTTTTGTTGAATGAATGGATGAATGAATGATATAGTTGTTGTTTTTTCTGATTGGTCATCGTCTTTGCTTGCCATTTTGATACGCCATTGAAGCATAGTAGAAATGCTGACGTCTGATGTATAATGACACCTTGCATGCTTGCAGACCACTGAGTGATTAGATGATTGGGTTGTTGTCCATGACACGTGGCGATTTTGCATGAGAAATTAGACTCTCATTTTTCCAGAAACAAGCGAATACCTCGCGGGGCTACGTGTAAGCGCAATCTGATCTGCGCAGCCTACACGTATCCACGCGTGCCGATTCGCGACCATTGACGATTCTGACACCCCCAGTATCGGATAGGCGGAAATTTTCCCTCCTTCGCGCACCTAGACGGATAGGAATTTTCGATATCGCATCAGGAAATCCCCTTGCCCGTTAGATGCGTGCGAAAGGCTTTCACTACGCCGCAATGACAAGATGTCGTACTCATGGGATTCAGAGTACTTCTAACCTTGGGTAAGGGAAGAACTAAGGCAGAGACGACCAAAATTCCCCTGTCTAACCGAGAATCGATTGTGCCCCAGGGAGTTTCGCTGTGCTGTAACCAGCGATCCGAGGTGCCCCGATTACCCAACTGCGTATAACATGCAATACTTCATATCCCCCGGCTTTGTCGTTATCACTAACAACTTCCCTCCCTTTCGTCTTCTCCTCCCGTATCACCAGCTCACTGTGGTACTGTGGAATTCCATCGCCCCGTATTGGCTCCGCATGCCGTGCACAAATTGCACACGACGCAGCCACCACCGAACCCCAGGGACTACGGAGCGTAACTGTACCACGCGGAGACAGGTGGCACGTGTCTGCCCCCGAGGATCCGATTTCTAGGAACCGCAATCCTCACGAACCTTTTTCGAACTGTCGTTACCAAAACAGACGGATCAGACGGCCTCTGATGCACCGCGCATGCCATCTGCCTTAAGCTGCACGACATTGACCGCCATCAAACCGAAAGCAACCTGCCCCTTAGTCCTAGTGCATTTATGCCCATGAATCCTTGCCACAGGAGATCTCCGTTCCGACCTGGGACTCCACCCCTACTTTCCCCAAAAATCCTTGGCACACCCTTTTTCGCACTTCCAGGCCCACATCCCACTCCGATCAGGAAGTCGCGTCGAGCGTGAGGTTGGTATCGGAGCCCACTACGTGGCAGGGTCTTAGGATTCATAGCTAGGCGATCTGGCTAACAGGGGACGACCTCGACCCCGGAACACGCATCGACGCGATCCCGTCGTCACCAGAAGTCGGTCTGCGGCCCGACGGGCGGTAAACATGAATGCTAATCAGCAGAACCCCCAACAGAACCCGAATCCCCAACAGAATCCTAATCAACCCGTACCACAAGCATGGGCACCCATGACGCCACCCGATCTCTATCTATTTGACCCCGCTCATCACCTTGCTGGAGCATGGCTGGGCATGCTCCGAGCTCAGCAGTATGATGACAACGAGGCGCAGGTAAATATCCCCGCGTGATTGGGAGGAGATGCCCATCACTGGCTTAGCACCTATGTATGGGTCGATCTCCCGACATTCGAGCGAGACTTCTTGAATCGATTCGATTACATCCACCCCGAACAGGCTCTTTCTATGATTAAAGATTGAGTTCAGAAACCTCTCGAGTCTGTCATAGAGTATCGAAACCGATTCTATAGGATGTTTGTGAAAACGGAACGAGGCAAACAGATAGGCAGAGATTTGTTCATCAATGAGCTCTGCAACAAGAGTGTTCTCCGCAGCAGAAGAGTTCATCGATGGGCTCCGCAGCAGAACAGTTCAACGATGAGGGCGAAACTGCGAAAACAGTTTTCCCCCATCAATCACACGCTGCAACAGATCATGGCAACCGCAGAGGAAATGTAACGAAAGTTCGCTGCGAGTTTCCTAGAAGGGGAAGACTATCCTAGGGAAGGAGACTCATCCGAACTAGCGAGAGCTAAAGTTGAGTTGGCTGCACTACAAAACAAATTTGAAAACATGGGGTGTGTGTCGGGCCCTGTCACCTATCTGGAACATATTAGTCTCAAACAACCGGTCCCAAGTGTGATTACGAGCATGCCTGCGCCCATGATGACAGCACCCCCGCCCTCGGTCGAAACCTCCGCACGACCGACTGAGTCTTCCGCCCTATTGGAACTAACCAAAACACTGGTCAATCTGATTCAGGAAAGCAAAAAGGAACAGCGGGAGCACAACGCTCAAATAGAGGCAATGATGAGGTCGATGCGACCAATAGCGGTGCATGCCGCCCTGATTCAACACGGATTGGCTCCGGCACCCCCTCCCACAGGGATCCCTGGCAATCTGAATGTCTGTTACACATGTCATCAGCCAGGGCACATAGCCCGAGATTGCCCCCATCGACCCCCGCAGCAACGAGTCGGAGCCGCACCGGTAGCAGCGGCCCCGATCACCAACGGACGTGGACGAGTAGGGGTATTGATGGAAGGAATGGGAGGAGGCGGAAGCACATTAGCTACGATGGAGGAAACTGCTGAACTAATCCCGTTGGATCAGTATGTAACGCTTAGCTACTCGGGGCTTAGGATGATTGGAACGATTAGACCCACGCCAGAACAAAGAGAAGTGGCGGAATGGCGACCTTCTCCAGGAGAAATGGAGTCGGGAGGACCCACTTTCGTCACGGGGAAAATCGATGTTCTCAACATCGTCCGAGCCTTAGATCATCGGATTCCTCTTCCGATTGGTCATCTACTTTCGATATTGGAACAAGCCAACGAATGAATGTTGCAACACTGCAAAGCACATCGAAAGCGATTCGCCCTCGCCCGAACAGCGAGCACAAAAGTGAAAAATCCCACGCCAGATGAAAACGCAGCAGGTACTTCAGACCCGATACAATTAGGATTGATTCAAAAAGATGATCATTTCCTACGGATTAAACCGATACCATTGAAATCCGCAGAATGTGATATCGAGGTATGGGGAATCCCGTATAATGTTATCATTGATTTCGGGTCCGTTGTCCTAGCTATCTCATTAAGGGTAGTTGAAAGGGCAGGAAAAAAGAACGATTTAATCATGCTTACGGAAAAAGATCAGCTCGTTTCAGCAGATGAAGAGAAAATTAAAACGGTGGGACGAATGACCAATGTTGCTTTTCGATTAGGAAGAGTACATGCCTTGGGAGATGTCGTAGTTTTAGACGTAAACACTTACAACGTCTTTTTTGGCCTTCCCGCTCTGGTGGCCTTGCACGCCAATCTGGACTTCGAAAGGCGATCCATTGTCCTCCGTAATACAGGAGGGAAGCCCTATGTTGTACCTGTGAGACTGACTTTTCGGACTATGGCTAACGTAACCCTGCGAGTTGCTCCCATAATGGCGGGAACTCTCCGCGTGATTACCTGGGATAACTCTGCTGACGGTGAACAATCTCTGAAGGACGCGGACAGCAGTGACGAGGACGATCCAGTAATTCTGGAAATGACGCAACAACGTATCTATTACCCTGTGCAACGAGCAAACACAAGATCGCTAAGCCTTACTGATCAGAGTCTATAGAGAACGCGAGCCATGATTATGGGTGAACCCCTCGTGCAGATTTCGAGGATGGTCGATTCTTTGGAACCCCCTTGCACCCTATACGAAAGCATCTCCCCTTTACTCGCACAATATAATGACAAAAGACACTACTGCGACATCACGAATCTTCCACGATCTCTTTTGACACCTGCAAAAGAGATACGATTGATACGTTTACGGGCAGAGACTCATTCTTTGGAATCCCCTTAGCACCTCGAAACCGGACTCGGAATTAAAATCGCAACGAAATCAGTGCCATGGCAGGACATTCGAGACGGAATAACACCGGAAGAGCACGTGGTCATTCGAGAACAGGATGCATAAATGATGGCTACGGTATTCTCCAGGCGGTCGGACAATTCGTTTATTTTCGCGCCCCTGCCCGAAAACACTAAGCGGGTGAGTACGAAACACATCGATGTACGGATATGGGATGAGTTGTACAAGTTGCACGTGCCCCAATACGTACCTGATGAGATCCATCATCTAATCGCGAAAATTCTAAAAGAATACAAGGGAGCGATTAGTCTGACGGACATAGACATTAAGCTGTCATTAGTCATACAACACGAGATTCAAACCGGAAACCATCCCCCCATTTACTGTAAGCCCTACAGATACTCCCTGGTGGAACGAAAAACGACCCTTGAGCGGATTCGAGAATTCGAAGCTAATGGTTGGATCGAACCTGCTACCGGGCCATGGTCGTTCCCAGTAGTTTTGGTGCTGAAAAAAAACGGATCGATTCGCATATGCATTGATTATGGCAAGTTGAACGATATGACGATTAAAGATGTGTACCCCTTTCCCAAGATTGATGATTTGCTGGATACGATTGGATGTGCTAATTATTTCAGTAAATTTGATATTCGCCACAGTTTTCATCACATTCTGGCTAAGGAGGAAGATCGGCCAAAAACGGCCTTCGTACTATTTAAAGGCACGTGGCAGTGAGTTCGATGTCCGATGGGGATTTGCAACGCGCCGGCCACATTTCAATTGGCTATGAACGTGACGTTTCATAACTTTGTCAACAAGACGCGGCTCACTCAGGGAATAATTAACTTTTGCGTCATCGTGTACATGGACGACATCCTCGTCTACTCGGAGACCTTTCACGGGCATGCACAACACATCGAATGGACACTGGGAGCTCTGAGAGACGCTGGGTTCAAGATCGCACTCAAGAAAAGTGAGTTTTTCCTCTCGGAAATCTCGTTCTTGGGTTACGTGGTGACACGTGGAGGACTGCGACCAGATTCAAGGAGAGTCACGGAGGTGAAAGATGCTCTTGTCCCCATGTCAGTGATCAGGTTCGAGCTTTCCTGGGACTGGCATCGTACTACCGTCGTTTTATCAAAGGCTTCGCTGCGATTCCGCGACCTCTGACGAACTTGCTACGAAAGGACCAGCCCCTTAGTTGGGACGCAGAGTGCGAACAGGCCTTCGCCACCCTCAAAGGCGCTCTGGCGACAACACCTATTTTGATCCGGTCAGACCCTACGAAGCAGTTCATTCTCATCACGGACTGGCAGCCAAAGGCGATTTCCACTATTCTAGCGCAGAAGGGGAACGACGACCGAGAGCACGTCATCGAGTACGCGTCTCGTACGGTGCCAGACGAACGAAGGAATGATTCAGCCCCGCAACGTGAATGCTATGCTGTAGTCTGGGGAATCCAGCACTTTCATCCGTACTTGTACGGACAGAAGTTCCTCCTTGTAACCGATCACGAGCCATTATTGACTCTCAAGAAGCTCACTAATTACACGGGTATGATTGGATGGTGGGTTGTGCGCCTACAGGAGTACGACTTCGACATCATTCATCGGAAGACAGAAAACGCGGACAGGTTGACACGTCTGCATCGCCCCGCCAAGGTACCCAAGGGTGAAGAAATTATTTCGTGGAAGGAGCCCGAGTCAGCGAACGGACCCAAATACGGGCAAGTGGCAGTCCTTCTACGTGGCAAGAAGCAGGCGATGGGCAATGGGTGATGGAGGTAATCCTGCAACTCCTCTCTCTCTCCCCTCTCATCTTCATCTTTCCTCTCCCTGCCCTATAAATTTGGTTATTCTTGTGAAGCGATCTCGCGCGTCTACTCGATCCCTATGCGTCCTAGCGGGGAAGGGTATGCAAAATTGATAGATTGTCGACAGTGTGTCGCACGAGCCCATGGCTCGTGCATCCAGTACAGAAATGGCGATAAGCCTTGGTTGGGTCCCTTGTGTCGAACTGATAAGATCCCGACTGAAGCTCGATTTCTTGATGCCACGTCAGAAGGGTTGGAAAAGACCCGGAAGTTTAGAAGGGCCAAGGTATGGACGGACATCGCTCTAATTGCCACCTTGGTAGGAAACCCTCTCTAGGACTTCATTAAGGAAGACCGGAGGAGGGCCAATGAAAGGGCTCGGGATTATCGTTGGAATGAGGGCCGGTTAGAAAAACGGAAGACGGATGGTAGTGGGATTTGGATGGTACTGACGCACCTGTTCATGAGGTATAACTGGGTTAAGACGGCGCATGGAAAATTACAGCCCATTTTGCCGTACGAATCACGGAAGCGGCAATCGACAAAAACGAATGGTATTGGTTCAATATTCGCGATGATGTGAAATTCATCGTCGCGAACTGACAGGTCTGCGATGCTGACAAGGCGTCAATCCAGCTGCCAAGATCGATAGTACCGACGGTCATTGAACGGCCTTTTCAAAGGGTTAGGATGGATACTACCGATATTGTGGTGCCCCTAGACCTAATGGCTGCGAGTATTCAATCCTACTGGTATTCGTAGACCACTTTTCGAAATGGATCGAGGCATATCCGTGTCGTACGCGACAAGCGGCTGAAATTGCGAGATACGTCAACCGGTTTCTAGGGATGCACCAGGACACAGAGGAAATCCTGACCGACAATGGGGTAGAATTCAGAGGGGAAGTTTTAAGGAATCTGGTCGTACATGGTGTCGCCATTCGGAACACTACACCCCACATGTCAAAGTCTAACGGCCTGGTAGAAAACACAAATCGGGTGATAAAGACAGCATTCCGACGAAACATCGTGGCACGGGATCCGAGGCCCTGGCCTGATATCGTAGATCACATCTTGGCGGTCCATCGGGGAACGCCTCACGAATCGACGGGCCTTAGCCCCTTCCAATTACAAACCAATAATGTAGCTTGTGTCTCGATACCGAGCCTCCCCGATGAATCTTCATTGAACTGACGACCCACAAGGGCTGCGGTTCGGGACAAGGCCAAGCGGCACATTAAATTAATGGAGCGGTTCCTTCCCCGATTAGCCAGAAAGCGCCAGAAAATGACTGAGTTGGCCCACGACCGACAGGTCCATAGCTACGAGGTCCGAAATGGGAACGCGGGGCCACGACCCCAGTATAAATTAGGGGACCTGGTGCAGGTAAGGAAATGTCCTCGTCAAGGGAAGATAGCGCAACGATTCTTCGGGCGATTTCGTATGATCGAACTCGGACTGAACGGGGTGAACACCGTGCGCCTCGTGCCGGAGGTCTCGGGAAGTCGATCGGCTTGACCGATCGTCCGCCATGTATCCTATCTACGTCCACTCCCTTCCTCTCCATCTCCAGCTGTGTCTGCTTCCTCCTTCGCTACGGAAGAGGAAGACGACTCTTTATCGCCTTCATCCCCTCCTGCATCTATTGACCTTTCTCATACCCCGTCGCCATGAGTTTTCTCACTAAGCGGGCTCTCCGCGATCACATGCTGGCGCCACGCGGCGACATTTCGGCAATTCGGCAAGTCCATCACCCATGATTCAGTCCGAATCTTTTACGACTCGTGCAGTTCTTCTGTACCATGGGAGTGCACGAGGCGGCAAAATTCCGATTTACGGGTCATCGTCAAGCGATCATGTTGGCAAAAGCGACGACGGTTCGACGGTTGTCAGCACCAGGAGTTAGCCACGTGTCTACCATCGTCCTCTTCAGCGGTAATATTAGTGCGATCAGTCCTCTGCGACACACGGCCATCCGGACGTCGCTAAGGGAGTGCGGTCAACAACTGGCAGCAGAGTGGAATCAGTGGCTTACGCGCCTCGGCGATAATCTTATCCCCACGGATGGCATCGACGTCGGAGGGCTCTGAACGTTCGACACGAGACGACGGTGGTGCTCCCCGAGCTCGCTCCCTTCCAGCGTCCTCAATGAACCGCTCCCAGCTCTCTACCTTCGCTCTCCCCTCTCTCTTCCCTACCTTCAGGCAGTCTTACTTTTGCCCCCGTCTCTCTTTTCGTCTGGAACCACTTGTTGTCCCCTTCCTCGACCGAAGACAGTGGGAACTGTGGTGCGAGCACTTCGTCGATCTTTCGGTGTGTTTGGTCGGGGTGCAACTAACGTGGACGAAGGACATAGAGCACCGCGCTTGGATCGCATCCATCCAAGCTTGGAGGACGGAGGTGGAAGGAGACCTTCTCGGATTTCTATTCGGATCAGTGCGACCCGGCCATCAACAGCAGATCGTACAGGAGCTCACGATTCCCCTCGCGCAGCTGGTCGACGATCTCCGTCTCGATATCGTTTCGCAGTGCGACGAGAGCCCGGTCCCGCACGTCCTTTCACGAACTCTGACACCCTACCTACAGTGGTCGGCTTGCCTCGAGGAGCTGGCAGGTAACAGCAACCCGCCATCGCAACGAGAGTACCTGGACCCGCGGAGGATAATCGACCTCGCCTTCTTTCAGCCTCGAACGGCCTTCGAAGATGAAGGGCTAACGGTAGAGGAAGGCGGCGAGGAGGAAGAAGAGGAAACTTCGGAAGAAGCGAGGAGCTACAGCGAATACAGCGAGGAAGAGTCGAGAGGTGACGAAGAAGAGGAAAAAGAAGAAGAAGAGGATCAATTGGAGGAAGAGGAGGAATCTGAGTGGGAAACTTTGGGGGAAGAGGCGGATCACACAGAGACTCAAGAGAAGGACCCCGAGGCGGTGCGAAGGAGAGAGGAGATAGCAGCCGGGAAGCAGCCGCTGGAGTTCGCGAGCGGGGTGGATCTGCTGATCCTGAACGACCGAGTCAAGGATCCCGAGCCGCCCAAGAACGACGATGGGGACCTTGCTGCCGAGACTTCGAGCGCACCGGCCCGACGACGACGAAGCCGATCCCCCTCCCCCTCCACCTCCGCCCGTCAACCAGTTCGAGCTCGTACCGATGCGGAGTATCGGGCTTTGTCCCCGGTCCTTATCCCGTCATCCCCTTGACCACCTCACCCTCCGCCAGATCACTACCCGCATCACCTTTTCCTGCAATCCCTTCCCAATTGACACCTTCCGCTTCTTCTACGCCACCCGTCTTGCTGTCATGGTTGATCCCCATCCTTCTACCCGGTGTGCCACCCCTGTCTTCTGTCTCCACGCCCTTCTCTTCAGTGTCGCGTGGCGAGCCTACAACATCGTCGAGGTTTACTGCATGATTACGGGGACTATCCCCGCATGCGAAAACCACGAGCACTTCCGCGTGGCGCTTTTTCAAACTTTCACCACCCTTTACCCCGACTATCTTGCTTCCCTTCCGCATAGTGGTAATCGATTCCCTCGCTTCCATCGGATCATCCGATATCAGGAGCTTTCGGAGACAGTCGCGGGATTAGAATGCTTTCTACCCCCACTCCCGACTAACCCACCCCGTTGCCATGCCCCCATGTATCGTCCTCCCTTTCCCCTTCCTTTAGGTCATTGATGTACGGATGATTGGCACGTGCCATGACAATGACACGCACGATCCCCTCCTTGGATTGAAGAGAGCCCATCCTGAGGAAATCGTAGGATAGAGCCACATGTGCCACCCTGGATGACGTCCACACTCTTATCGAACGGTAAGTGGCAACAAAGAAGGCTTCGCGCGTCGATCGATTAGAGAGATCAACATGTGTTATGATTCAAGCAAGCGGGAGCTTGCTTAAGATTGGAACCCTTTGGGCGTCACACATGTGATGAACGAATTTTTGTTCCGCGCGATTTTCGGCGCGACGATAATGAGGGGTCCTAAGATGGGAAGGTTGGGCCAACTACGGGAGATCGGGATCGAAGGGAAATTGCATCAGTGTCCTCGCTTTTTCGTCTTTTCTCTTTCGTCGCTTCTTTTCGAATGGCTGGGTTCAAGGTCGGGCAAGTCCCGAGATGGTTGGGTTCAAGGTCGGGCAAGTCCCGTTTTCGCCCCCACTTGATTTTGATCTCGTTTATTGTGTGTTTTGTCGAATGAATGGATGAATGAATGATGTAGTTGTTGTTTTTCCTGACTGGTCATCGTCTTTGCTTGCCATTTCGATACGCCATTGAAGCATAGTAGAAATCTTGACGTCTGATGTATAATGACACCTTGCATGCTTGCGGACCACTGAGTGATTAGATGATTGGGTAGTTGTCCATGACACGTAGCGATTTTGCATGAGGAATTAGACTTTCATTTTTCCAGAAACAAGCGAATACCTCGCGGGGCTACGTGTAAGCGCAATCTGATTTGCGCAGCCTACACGTATCCATGCGCGCCGATTCGCGACCATTGACGATTCTTACACCCCCGGTATCAGATAGGCGGGAATTTTCCCTCCTTCGCGCACCTAAATGGATAGGAATTTCCGATATTGCATCGGGAAATCCCCTTGCCCGTTAGATGCGTGCGAAAGGCTTTCACTATGCCGCAATGACAGGATGGCGGACTCATGGGATTCAGAGTACTTCGAACCTTGGGTAAGGGAAGAACTTAGGCAGAGACGACCAAAATTCCCCTGTCTAACCGAGAACCGATTGTGCCCCACAGAGTTCCGTTGTGCCGTAACCAGCGATCTGAGGTGCCCCGATTACCTAACTACGTATAACATGCAATACTTCATATCCCACAGCTTTGTCGTTATCACTACCAACTTCCCTCCACTCCGTCTTCTCCTCCCGTATCACCCGCTGTGGTACCATGGAATTCCATCGCCCTGTATTGGCCCCGCACGCCGTGCAGAAACTGCAGACGACACAGCCACCACCGAACCCCGGGGACTACGGAGAGTAGCTATACCACGAGGCAACAGGTGCCACGTGTCTGCCCCCGAGGATCCGATTTCTAGGAACCACAGCCCTCACGAGCCTTTTCCGAACCGCCGTCACTAAAACAGACGGATCAGACGGCCTCTGATGCACCGCGCATGCCATCTGCCTTAAACCACCGGTCCCCCCGCCACTTAGAAACTGCCGAAGGACCGGTAGGCCGCGATCGCACATTTTTTGGCGCACGACCGGTTTTTCGCGGCCGACCTGGTCCCACCCACATTTGTCGTTTCAGATGTGGGACCCGGTAGGCCACGTGCTGAGGAAACCCATCGACCTGTCGGTCTGTCCGTTTTCTTGCATCCGGACATGGAAGTGACCCGCCCGCCAGCAAAAACAATTATAAAGAACTGGAAAAAAAAACTCGAATTTATTTTATTTTTTGTCTCCGGTTGTTTTCACTTTTGTTTGTTTTTCTGCGCCCGAAACGACACGGCCGTCGCAGGCAAGCCGCGTGACAGCACATTCGTGCAGCCATCGCATGGCGAGAAGACACCGTCGGGTGGCACGTCTTCGTGCACGTTGCCGTTTCCCACGTGTCCTCTAGCGACGCAGGCCTCGGACGGCTGACGTGGTTCGGTCGGCTCACGTTATTCGAACGTCGTGACCTTCAACCACTTGTGTGCGGTTTCGACGTTGCCTTCTCTTTCTCTCTTTCACTCTCTCTCTCTCTCTCTTTCTCTCTCTCTCTCTCTCTCTCTCTCTCTCTCTCTCTCTCTCTCTCTCTTATATATATGTATGACATACGT